GAGAGAGAGAAAGAAAGAAAGAAAGAAAGAAAGAAAGAAAGAAAGAAAGAAAGAAAGAAAGAAAGAAAGAAAGAAAGAAAGAAAGAAAGAAAGAAAGAAAGAAACTGAGGCCCGGAGATGAAATGGTTTGCTCAAGATTGGACTGAGGCCAAGTGTGGTGGTGCATGCCTATAATCTCAGCATCTTCACGGGAGGCTGAGGCAGGAGGATGGCTAGTTTCACCCCAGCTTTGGCAACATAGACTTTGTGAGATCTTGACTCGTATAAAATAAAATTTAAAAGACTAGGGATGGATCTCAATGCAAAGGTCCTGGGTTCAATCACCACTACCAGGAAAAAAATATTGTACTAAGAAAAGAAAAAAAAAATCCCCGTTAGGGTGGTACATTTGAGTGAAATAGTCCAGCTAAGAACTGAAAGTAACAAAATGTTTTTACTTCACTTTCTTATTGAGATCCTCACAACAGTTTCAAAAGGAAGCTATCACAATCTCCATTATGCAAAAGGGGGCTCAAAGATTTTCCTAGATTATGGGGATGATGGGGAGCTCAGGCCATTGCTGGGACACTTTCTGAGTGGCAGGCAGGATGCTAAGTGCTTTCAGGGCATCGGGTCCTTTATAGTTAGAAACAGCCACATGGGTAGATTTTCTTTTGGTCCCTATTTCTGTAAACAGGAAAGTAACACACTTGCAAAAAGCCACAGGCCGTATAGTTGGTAGAGCCAGGATCTGAGTCCTGCTCTGTTTGATTTCGACATTACAGACGTAACTCCTTGCTACACCCCTGTTACTGGCTCTCTTGGATCCCCAACCCTGAATCTTTAAAACAAACATACAAATCCTGGAGGGGATGGGCCAAAAAAGTAAAAGATAAACACGCTGGAATTTGAAGAGTGGAGAATCCCCAAGCTCATCCGGAGAGTTTCCGCTGTGGGGTCCCCGGCCCTACAGGCCTCTCCTCTGGGTACCTGGAGCCATCTGATTGGCACAGTGTGTCTGAGTGTCATGCAGCTGGCATCCTTCCCACCCCCACCCCTACCCCCAGCGTAATCTGCAGAGCATCAGATAATCAGTCCCTGGGATCGGGGGCCCAGCGGCCTGTGACCAAGGAGCCAAAGGAAAGAGGAACTGCCTG